AATTAAATTAATTTACATAGATAAACATAAATTTATAATAAACTTTCTAACATTTAAACAAAATAGATACTCCCGTAAAGATGATAGTCAACACTGGAGGGACCGCAACATAAATGAGGCAAAAGTGCCCTGGTTACAAGTGTTTAGTATACTATGGAGAAAGGAACCTCCCGAGGTATTAATGCTGGAAAGTGCCCATAAATACGGCAAACTATATGGCATTAAATCGTTTGGAAAGACTAACATAGTATGCGCTAAACCCGATATCATTAGCTTAGTGCTCAGCAAAGAATTCACTAGTTTTACAAATAGGAGGGTATGTCTTGAGCACACATAAAACTTAGTATTTGAAACTTATTTGTGGTGATGCTTGCTCAGAATATAAAGTTAGACAGCGATGCCATGATGAGTAATATGCTTTCGGTGGTGTTGGATGACCAGTGGAAACGGTTGAGAGCGATAGTATCGCCCACTTTCTCAACGGGAAAGTTACGCAAAATGCGGCCATTGATTGACGACTGTTTGAATACATTGGTAAACAATTTGGACCGACTTTCAAGCGATGAGTCAAATGCTGAACGCGTGAGATAGTATCGCCCACTTTCTCAACGGGAAAGTTACGCAAAATGCGGCCATTGATTGACGACTGTTTGAATACATTGGTAAACAATTTGGACCGACTTTCAAGCGATGAGTCAAATGCTGAACGCGTGGTCGATATGAAGCGGGTGTTCGGCGCCTACACTATGGAAGTCATAATACAAGTGGCTTTTGGCACTAAAGTGGACGCACTTATCGACGAAAGTAATGCCATTATAGTTAACGCCAAGAAACTAATGTCCAGAGACTTCCGGTTATGGGAGTTGCCGAAGATTTTGGTTATAATATTGTTACCAAAAGTTGCTAAACTATTTGGCCTGACTTTGTTGCCCCGGGATATCACACAGTTTTTCACTGACATCTGCACCAAAATTATCGCTGAGCGCAGGGCTAGTAAGGGGTCCGGGAATAAGAGATACGACTTTTTGCAGCTCATGTTGGATGCAAACGACAAGAATAATGAGACCGAAAATAATACTGAATTGAATTCAGACACAACTGGCCAAATGTCTGAATTAAATACTGATGAACATCCCGGCGCTATACAGACACATAATAAAGGTATGTTATGTTTGATACAACTGTAACTATTAGGTTGAAAATTAAATAAATAATTCGTTTGATAGGTATGTCCGACGCGGAAATGATATCCCAATGCGTGCTGTTTTTTGTGGCCGGATATGAGACCACAGCCACGACCATATCATACGCCACATACCTACTGGCCAAAAATACCACATCACAGGAAAGGCTGTTTGAAGAATCAAAAAGGATTTTCGAGTCAAAAGTTAGTATACACTGAACCAAAGTCTCGGAAAATCTTACAATTAATTCATTTCCAATGAGTTTATAGTCAGACATCGATTACGATGCTATCGAAAGGCTTGAGTATCTGAACGGTGTAGTGATGGAGACCTTACGCCTATACCCACCGGGACTGGCACTGGAAAGGGAGGCGTCGACTGATACAGTACTGACCGGTGATGAGGAGACCATCAAACTATTCAAAGGAGATATATTTCAAGTACCCATTTATGTGCTGCATATGGATCGCCAGTATTTCGACGATCCCTATGCCTTCAAACCGGAAAGATTTTTGCCACCGAATATAGCACACCATCCCTACGCGCACCTACCGTTTGGTGCCGGCCCTCGCAATTGTGTGGCTAAACGACTGGCCCTAATGGAGGCAAAGTTGGCTCTACTATACTCTGTCTATAACTTTAAGTTTGAAATCTACGATAAAACTGCAGTGAGTCTTATTTATTAAGTTATTAATAAATTAATAATTAATTAGTTAATTAAATTAAATTAAATTAAATAGTTATCCCTATAATGAATGACTAATTTATTTGACACCCGTCCACAGCAACCACCGGAAAGGTACTATAATTTAGGACTAATCGTACCAAAAGAGGTGTCGTTGAGAGTTGTGAAAAGAGTTCATTGAAATGGACACCAATTTGGACTCAATTTATTACCATTTACAGTATATTATGATTAATAATGCTTATTTCGTATATAAAGTTAAACATTGTATTAACTTAAAACTTAAATACTTTTCAATAAAACAACATCAAAATTAATGTACTGTACTGTTCACTGTAAATTATAGTGTCTAGTCACTTAAGTAATTAAGTATAAACTAATTTACCTTTATTTTATAATAGTTATACTGTATATGGATTTAATGAAAACTCTAAATAAAATCGTAAACACAATTAACATAAAAATTAATAAATAGTTGTAATTCTGTTATTAATATGGAAATTATTGCATTACGTCAACTATTGTAAACCAATGGTTAGACATTCAAGTGAAGGACAAACTAATATACACTACCAAATTGAACTCCTACTTAATTTTACATTATTATCATATTAATCTCTGTACTAAGTTATTATATAAAATAAGTAAATATTTTGTTTGAATAGCAGTGTCTATTTATCAACACTGGGTTTATCACGAACCTAAAGTACTGAATGGGATAACAAATTGATGCAATGATAAGAGTGTATTACAACTACACTCATATATATTATGTTTATATTGAGACCACATAAATCCACAGACATTTCATTTTCATACTTATAAAGTGACTGTCAAATTATTAATAACTAATTGAAAAATTTTTATTAAGAATATAATTCACTAGTATTGCACTCCAGTCCTGTTGGGTATGTATTTCCTTTGACACTGTCTTTAATATTGTCTATTAAAACATAATTTTATTTGTAGTTAAATTTTTATAGAGAAATCAATATTCTTGTAAAAATGGACATCCTATGGGATAGTGTGCAACACCTTGGTCAATACCTGGCAACACATTATTTGATTACTTTACTCGTATTTGGAGTTGTATTCATAATAATCAAGTAGTTATACTTAACTAATATCACTAAATAATAATCAATTAATTGAATTTGAAACTATTCCACTGAAAGGTACTATCGTAGAGATGACAGTAAACACTGGGAGGACAGGAATGTGAGGGGAATGGATGTTAAAATGGCATCTTTTTGGACATTAATATGGAAGAAACAAACGTCAGAAGTGTTACTACAGGCCATGGCAGACAAATACGGCAATTTATATGGCATTAGACAGTTTGGGAAGACTATTATTATGTGTAGTAAACCCGATATGATTAGTTTGGTGCTCAGCAAAGAATTTACTAGTTTTACGAATAGGAGGGTAAGTTTGCAACACAAAGAATGGTTAAATGAAAGTTTACATCAATTGTACTTGCTTAGAATATGAATTTAGACAGCGACCCGTTGTTTAGTAATATGCTTTCGGCGGTGATGGATGACCAGTGGAAACGGTTGCGAGCGATAGTATCGCCCACTTTCTCGACCGGAAAGTTACGCAAAATGCGGCCATTGATTGACGACTGTTTGCAAACAATGATCAATAATTTGAATAAACTATCAAATGATGAGTCAAATGGTGGGCATGTGGTCGATATGAAGCGAGTGTTCGGCGCCTACACTATGGAAGTCATAATACAAGTGGCTTTTGGCACTAAAGTGGACGCACTTATCGACGAAAGTAATGCCATTATAGTGAACGCCAAGAAATTAATGTCCAGAGACTTCCGGTTATTGGATTTGCCCAAGTTCTTCTTAATATTAATGTTACCAAAAGTTGCTAAACTATTTGGCCTGACTTTATTGCCCCGGGATGTAACCGACTTCTTCACTGACATTTGTGGTAAAATTATCGCTGAACGCAGAGCTAGTAAGGGGTCCGGGAATAAGAGATACGACTTTTTGCAGCTCATGTTGGATGCAAACGATAAAACTAAAGAGACCGAAGATAATAGTGACTTGAATCCAGACACAAACGCTGATAAATCTGAATTAACTACTGATGAACATCCCGGCGCTTTACAGACACATAATAAAAGTAATGAGATATCATATATGAATTAAAGTAACTATTGGGTTGAGAATTAAATAATCAATTCGTTTAATAGGTATGTCCGACGCGGAGATGATATCCCAATGTGTTCTGTTTTTTATGGCCGGGTATGAGACCACAGCCACCACCATATCATACGCCACATACCTATTGGCAGAAAACCCGGAATCACAGGAAAGACTGTTTGAAGAGTCAAAAAATATTTTTAATACAAAAGTTAGTTTAAATATATTTCCCCGAAACTCACAATCAAATTAACTTGTTCAAAAACTATTTATAGTCGGACATCGATTACGACGCTATCGAAAGGCTTGAGTACCTAAATGGCGTAATAATGGAGACCTTGCGTCTATATCCTCCAGCGGTGGCAGTGGAAAGGGAGGCCTCCGAAGACATAGTACTGACCAGTGATGAGGACCGCATCAATGTATTCAAAGGAGACCTCTTTCAAGTGCCCATTACTGTCCTACATATGGATAGACAGCATTTCGATGATCCCTATGCCTTCAAACCGCAGCGGTTTATGGCATCAAATATAGCACACCATCCCTACGCGCACCTACCGTTTGGTGCGGGCCCTCGCAATTGTATTATGTACACAATTATATCTACATTTTTAGTAGGAAATCGAAAGCTTAATTCAAAATAAACATCCAAAAGTCTTATTAATCAAATTTGCACTTTATTTATATATCAGATTAATTAAAGTGAAGTATGGGTTGAGAACTACTATTTGATTAATAATGTATACATTTGTCTCTCCGATGACCTGATTATAAATACTATTTCCAAATATTCTGTGTATATATTAAGTTTATACAGCAATTCTCGGACATTGAAAATGAATGGCAATTCTATCCCCTTTTTTCAATCCACAGTTAATCTATTCATTTGTCAATTTATTTCAATTAAAATAAACAGACTATGCCTATGTCACACATACTGATATACGGTACTGTAGTCACATACAGTTGACATAACGGTGCGGTGTATACAGTATATAGAATTACACACAGACTTCCAGACAAATTCTGTGACACATTTTGAATACAATATTTTGTATCAAAACCTATTAATTTAGTGGAAAAAGGCCTAAAAGCAAACAGTAATTTATCAAAAATTTTTCACAACCGTATAAACGCTAAAACATAAATGTATTGAAAATTAATATTACATTTTTGCTGAAATGCATGTAACTGTATATTTCATGTATAGCGGACCTCATGTGTTAAACATATCAACAGTTAGTGCCATAGTTTTGATTGCAACACAAAATGTCAACTTTTAGCTCAAAATCATAATTACTTTTGAATAAATAATTATCTGAATACTGATTTTGTTAATTATAATCAGAATATTCTGTGTATTCATGAATTTCATGCCTTTTCAAGTCATTCTAACGTGGATTTCACTGAACATGTGATAAATCCGATGAAAATATGTTGTGTAATATTAAATATTTAAATAAGTGTAGGACTTATCGAAAAATATTTATCAAAATTTAAAATATGTCCACAAAATATTGATGTATTGAATATGTCTTAAAATTTAATAACTTTTCAACACTCAGACAAGTATTGGAAAAAAGCAAAGTTTACCTTTTGGCAGTCATTTGTAAATAATTCATATTTTTAGAAAATGTAATAAAAATTAAAATTTTGAAATCAATTTAGTATTGAATGCGAACTAATAAATGGATTTTTAACGATCAGCGATTGAATGCAAACTTTTTTTGATACCATTTTCATAAACATTTCGGTCGCTTCACAAACATTACGCTAAATGATCTCAAAAATAGCTTTAAAACTTCAATCAAAACACTATATATAAGTTTATAGTAATAGGGAAGAATCGATTAGTTTTATATTTGTGTTTAACATCTCTGTTGGGTTTCACAGCGAGTCTAAGTGCTGTTTACTCACCACACAAACACCCAGTGGCGGTTGATAATCCGCGGCCTATAAACTTTTCAATTTCCGGAAAGGTGAGTGCTCTCTGTATGTGATGTGATGGGGTGACACATACTAAATATCTGTTATATACAGAATATTCTGTATACCAAAGGTTTCTTCACTTTATTTTCAGTTCAAACACTTTCTCTCTCTCTCTCATCAAATACTCTACAATTAAAAAGCTATTGTTTTTTGCGGTAGAAACTGTTTTAGTTGTACGCCTTAAACGTAACGATAAGTCACTGTAACTATAATTAAAAGACTTGTTTTTCTCTAACCATTTGCTAGAAAAAACTTTTAATATATTTTATTTATATATACAGTTATAGATAGAAAGTTTTGTGTTTGCAAAACATATACTCATTTCTCTGCGCCCACAGACACACTATGGATGTCAATAAAACCATAAGAAATATATTTCAAAATTATATTTTTGCCATTAATTTCAATCATATGGAAAGAAATTTGCATAAATTATTAACATATACTCATTTCTCTGCGCCCACAGACACACTATGGATGTCAATAAAACCATAAGAAATATATTTCAAAATTATATTTTTGCCATTAATTTCAATCATATGGAAAGAAATTTGCATAAATTATTAAATTTAATTTAATAGAAACTTGTTTTCTATTATCATATCTATTATGGGGAGAAGTAGCAGAAAAAGTCATCTCTTTTTTGTTGATAAGATGAATAAATTCTCTTAACATTTAAATGTCATTTAGTGTATCATATCATATGTCTCTCTTATCTCCATATTCAAGAATATTCTGTGAATTGAATTGAATTAAATTGGAATATAATTCAAATTAATTAAATTAAATTATTGGGGGGAAACCTTTTATTTCATACTTATGAAAAGTGAATAAATTATTTTCTTATAAAAAATTATCATAATTTGTTTGAGTATTACATACAAAATTCACGACATAAAAAATTAAGCCAATTATAAATTAGAAAAATTTTTCAAACTTTTCCCAATACTAGGAACGGGTCAATAGTTTGTGTGATTCAGTACTCAGTTTTTTTTATAAAGGATTTAATACTGTATTTTAGGAAAACTATTCAAATTTAATGATGACTTTCAAATGCATACAAGTGCACTTGGTAAACATAGCCATTGAATAAAATCATAATTTTTATATAATATCATTTACGATATACTAACCCGTAAAAATAACTTTCCATTAGATAAGTAACACTATAATATAATTTGAACACTACTTTGTATCACTGTAAAAAAATTAATACAGTACATTGTTTTTGTTTCACACTGAGTCTATACTTGAGGTTTGAATTCAATTATCATTAATTGTATTCAATAGATATAAGATTAGATGTGTTACACAAAAACACAAGTATTAGATTGTGTTTGCGAGACAATAAACCGACCATTTATTTGCTCACTAAATATTAATATTGCCTCTCATTATTATTAATTCATAATACTTGGTATAACTATACGACATCCGAAGTTAATATATTTAATCAATAAGTAGTGCAGAAAAATAGTGATCAAAGAGAATGAGAAACACAAAAAAGTCTCTCTCTCTCTCTCTCTCTCTCTCTCTCTCTCTCTCTGTTTGTTTGTTTGAAACTCATTCATAACATTAATATTATATAATAAATAATAGAAATTTTGTATTAGTGTTGAGCATAACAATAGTCGATATACGTTATTAACATTATTACACATATTTCCCGAAATAGTGTATACACTTGTTTTTGGTGGAAACTTCTAAATTTGGTATATCATATACACGCTATTAATACTACTAACTTAATAATTGATAATTATCTCATCATTAGTACAAATTTCCTATTTCACTGAATGATATTTATGGCCAAAAAATATCACATTTCTATTTAATGTGATTCTGGGTATTGGTATCGATGGCTGGAAATTCTTGCGCTAATTCTGCGAAACATTTAGCAAAGAATTTAAAGCAAAGAATAACTGTTTTATTTGACAGTAAATATCACGGAATAGTTAGACGACTAAACACTAAAACACCAAACGAGCTGTGAATATATAAGCCAGCAATTAATGCGAGTTAAATTACACTGGCGTTTAAATAGGCTTTTAAATCATTAGTAAGACAATAGCCGCCCGAATATAACACACAAAACGATTAAATACTGTACTATGAGTTTACGGCTAATATATGGCAATAGTATTGTATAGTCTGTGAGGTTAAGACCTGTTGTCTTGTGTGGCCGTAAACTCGATACCAGAAAAACACTGTTTTTTGGCAAACATTACATCTCAATAGACAGTATAGCGTCATAAACCCCTTTTAACACGACTTGTAATTGATTTTATGATAATTTCATTTTATTGTACACTTTTCCCATTGTGTGTCCTGTTTTTCACCACATGATTCAATTTGGGTTAAAACTATTTAATGAGAAACTGTAAAACTATAGCCTACCGTTCCCTTTTTTCATTCAATACCTTTGCTTTTTTTATTGATATGTTTTTGTGTTTTTGCTTTTTACGTACGGTATTTGGATTTTTCCATATTATTTGCGAATAGATTTAGATTTTGATAGAAATTTACAGTCAAACAGATAGCGAAACAGATTTGTTAACCGGATTTGTAATTAGCATTTAATTCCCTATTGTTTGCCCGCAATGTATCAGACATTGATTTGTGTGTGCTTTCTCGTGATTGTGAAACACATTTATTATATAATTTTTATTTATTTTATAAACTAATTACACTGTAAATGCGCTAAACAAAT